CAAACAGATTAATATCATCAAAATATTTCCATGTTTCATTGATAATCATGAAAAATATTATAAGAGAAAAAAATCTCCCCTGTTTCACACAGATTAATATCATCAAAATATCTTCCTGTTTCATTGATAATTATGAAAAATATTGCAATAGAAACTGAGAACAAATTTGTACCTATTAGTATATAAATCAAGATAGAGAAGATAATGCATTAAAAAGTGTCATAGAGAAGAATATCATATTAAGGAAACAATATCTAGGATACCCAAGACAAATGAAGAGAGAGAAAGATAGGGGAATAAAATGATTATAGAGATAATGAAATTAAATGCAGTAGTTTCCCTCCATTGCAGTCTTCTTATTTAGGCAGCTTTCAAATTTAAATGCACTCATATTCTAGATTTCAAATTTCAAATTCAAATTGCAACAAATTTCAAATTTCAAATTCAAATTCCAACCAATTCCAAATTTCAAATTCAAACTTCTAATCCCAAATTTCAAATTCAAATTTCAAATTCCAATTCAAAATCAATTTCAAAAATCTCAAACTGCAAAAATTTCAAATTTCAAAGTCTCAAACTACAAAATTTCAAATTTCAAAAATCTCAAATTGCAAAATTTCAAATTTCAAATTTCAAAAATCTCATACTGCAAATTTTTAAAAAAAATCTCAAACTGCAAAATTTCAAATTTCAAATTTCAAGAATCTCAAATTACAAGATTTCAAACTTAATAATTTCAAATTTTCCTAAATTCAAATTTTCAAAATTCAAACTTTCAAATTTCAAAGTTGGTCAACATAATTGATTATTACAACAAGAAAAAAAAATTTCGATTCTGATAATCAATTAGATGCTCAAATTATCATCTAGACATGTATAAATGCTTTGTTCCTTTAGACACCCATTCATATTTGCCATTAGATATGCCAAAATGTTTTATGTAACATCTATTTGATGTATGACCTAATTTCATGCAACAAAAACATGTTGGTTTTCTTTGAAAAGGTCTAAATGCGTTTCTTAAAGTTTTTGAAATTGGTTTCACATCTATTTTCCTTGACTCTTTCACAAAAATAGTTTTATGAGGTTCTAGACTTTCTTTGGGTTTGTAACCAAGTCCAACTTTGCTAGAATTTCCTCTTTGATAACCTAATATCGAATCAAGATTTTCAGAAGATTTTGAAAAATTGCTTATTATTTTCTCTAACTTGAAAATCTCATTTTCTAAAAGATTACAATTTTCACAAGGTTTAAAAACTTCTTTATTTTTAGACAAAGTTTTAGATTTCTCAACATCTTTCTTTAAGCACTCATTTTCTTTTTCAAGAATACCAACAATATTTTCTAATGCATTAAAATTTTGCCTAAGTGCATTGTATTTCTTAGATAACTTGGTAAAACCTTCATACATATCTTGATATTCTTTAAATAACTCATCATATTCATTTAAGGAATTTGTACTACTTACCTGTGATAAGGCTTCATCATCACTTTTTGTCATCAAGCAAAATTTGCTTCTTCTTCTCCATCACTGCTTTCGGAAGAACTCTCTTGTGTTGTGGAAGAATCATTATCCTCCCAAGCAATATAAGCTTTGCATTTTCTCTTATAGGTATCGTTCTTCTCTTTCTTCTTCTCTTTCACATCTTTCTTCTCTTTCTTAAGTTCCGGACAGTCTGATTTGATATGACCATGTTTCCACATTCATAACAATGAAATTTATTTGTTTTCTCCTTTCTTTGTTGTCTCTTTTTCCTGTTCTTCATAAAACGAGAAAATTGTTTAACAAAAAGAGACATATCAGAATCCGAAAACTTACCTTCATTTTCGCTTTCGTCTTGTGAAGATTTTTCTGCTTTTAGAGCTATCGTCTTGGTTTGATTCTGTTCACCATTCTTTAACCTTTGTAGCTCCATCTCATATTCTTGCAGCTTTCCAAATAGAGTAACAATATTCATTTTTGTGAGATCCTTTGATTCTGTAATAGTAGTGACCTTTGGTTGCCAATTCCTGTCTAAGGATTTCAAGATCTTTTTGTTCAACTCCTCATTGTCAAAACTCTTTCCTAATGCTTTCAAGTGATTTACTATATGTGTGAAGCGTGTTTGTAAATTCGTGATGCTTTCATTTTGCTGCATTTGAAATAATTCATACTCCTAGATGAGTGTGTTTTTACGTGCTCACTTTACTTCATTTGTTCCTTCATGTGTTACTTCAAGAGTTTCCCATATTTCTTTTGCCGTCTTGTATTGTGAGACCCTGAAAAATTCATTAAGAGTTAAGGCAGAAACAATAGCATTTCGGGCTCTTACATCATAATGGGCACACTTATTTTCATCCGGTGTCCATTGATCAAAAGTCTTTGGAACAGCTCCAGAATCTGTTGTTCTCATCGGAATGTAAAGACCATTGAGTACAACATCCCAAACACCGTAATCTAGTGTTTGTAAAAATATTTCCATTCTCGCCTTCCAAAACTGATAGTCTTCTCCTTCAAATAATGATGGTCTGTTTATTGAGGCTCCTTACCTGTAAACCTGATTCTGCATAGACATCTTGACAGATCGTTTAGAAATATCTTATCTAACCAAGCTCTGATACCACTTGTTAGACAAATGGCATCTAGAGGGGGGGGGGGGGTGAATAGATGCACAAATTAAAATAGATGTCAAATTAAAAATTTATTTGTGAGTCAATAATTTTTTTAAACACAGATAAAGCGGAAGCGATAATATAATCAAGAAAAGAGAAAGAGATAAGGGAAAGAGAAGAGCACACAGAGATTTATACTGGCTCGGGTATAGCCAACCCTACATCCAGTTCCCAGTCAACTCTTAACACAAGAGTGACTCCCCATTCACTATCTTTTACAATCAACTCAGTAGAAGAACCAATAAAAAGTAAACTAAATAAAAACAAAATCACCTCCTTAGAAACCCACTAAGGATGAACACCTCCCTAGAATCCAACTAGGGATGAACACCTCCTCTGAACAAATCAAAGGATGAAAAACACCTCCTTTTCCACCAATGAAAAAAGGATGAAGGTAATAAAAATAAGAACAGACACACCTGGGTAATGGAGACAACAAATTGTAGAAGCCTGTAGAATGCCAATCTCCAAGAACAAGTGTGATTAACAATGAAAGCACAAAAGGCAGTAGAGAGGAGGGTTTTCTCAAAAGGTGTAAAAATATCTCTGTTGCCTTGCTCAGAATTCTTTTCTCAAAATTGATTGAATATAAATTGTATTTTCGAATTCTATAATTGTGTGTTTTTGATTTTTCATCAAAACTTAATTAAATAGAAAAATAGCATCAGAAAATGGCTGTTGGACATTAATATTTTTGTGAATAAAAATCAGGATATATTCAGAAATATTTATTCTTCAAAACAAATATATTTTTCAAATTTGAATTGCCATAATTGATTATGTTACCAATAATCAATTATGACAGAGAAAAATATCATGTTATGAATTTTATCACACTTGTGCTTTGGAGGCTTATGCATAATATTACTTCATCAACTTGTACCTCCATATCCAGTATTCTAAGACTCTATCTAGTCTTCAGGAATCATCTTGGGCTTTCTTGAATCATCATCTTTATAAAAAACATATCTTGGGCATGTAGGGAAATGTTTCACATTTTCACCAACGTCATAAATTCAGCTTGTCCTTAATTCATCTTGAATGGTGTTGAGTTGAATGTAGTTGACTTGAATCATCATCAAAATCATCTCTTGGGAATGTAGGGATATTTCCATCAATCTCCCCCTCATTGCTTTCAAGCTAGAGGTGCTGGTGATGAGGGCGTGGCCGGTGAGGGTGGTTCACAATTTGGGGCACGATGGTGGTGATGGAGGTGCTGGTGGTTCTGATAAGGGGGAGGTGGTGAGGAAGATTAGAGGGGTTGGAGATGGGGATGGATGTGGTGGTGGCCTGGCGATTTGGGGGAGTTACTGTGGGGGGCTCGTGGCGGCCATTCAGTGGTGTTGCGAGTTGTAGTGGAGGAACTGTGACCGGAGTTGAGTAGGGGCTGTGTGTGCTCTAGTGAAGGGTTAAGAAGGAAGATGGAGTGGTGCTGATCGTGATTGGAGGCGATTGGCGAGATGCAAGTGGTGCGATAATGTTGAATGGGAAAAAGGAAAGTGAAGGTACAGGGAGAGTGGAGACTCTTATGCGGGGAAAAAGAGGGATTGAGGAAGAGGGGAAGTAGAGAAAGTGGGAAGATGAAGGTCTTTCCCCCGAGTGAGGGAGAGTGCGGTGAGTCCCCCGGTGCTAAAGAAAAATCCCCTATTTTAAAGCCAAAAATTATGTTAAGATTTTGAGATCGGGTAAAAAAAAAAATGGGTTGGACCCAAAATTTTGCCTCTTAAATTTTTATCCTAAAAAGCTATTACTTAATTTTCCTTTTTTTTTAATTATTTTTTCATTTTTCTTTTCTTAAAAATTATATTATATTTTTATTTATTTATTTATTATTTTATTTTATTTTAAAGTGCTTAAAAACATTTTTTTATCTTTTTTCCTTTTTTTATATTTTAATATTTTTTCTCCTTTTTTCAAATAAGATGTTATCTATTTTTTCTTTTATATCTACCCGGACGAAATTGGGTGTCGACAACTGCCCCTCTTTACTTAGCTTTTACTAGATAATATGAAAATTTAGAATTTTCGTATGATCATAGTAAAAGATAAGTAAAGATAGAAGCAATAATTTCATTTGGGTTTCCATAATTATGACAAAAAGAGGACATATAGGTTGGTTGCTCGTGGATGAGACAAACCAATCAATCCGAAATACGATAAGAAATTTAAAAGGATATATAGATCGCTTGTGGAAGGGTCTAACCGTCAATCTGAAATGTAAAACTGGAAAGAGATGTATAGATTGTCTGTGGGAGGGACTGATCATCAATCCAAAAAGTAAATTGGAAAAGGATATTTAGATCATCCGTAGAAGGGATTGATCAGCAATCCAAACTGCTTGAAAAAGGATGTATAGATCACTCATGGAAGGGACTGATCATCAATCCGAACTTTTTGAAAAAGGATGTATAGATCACCCGTGGTAGGGGCTGATCATTAATCTGAATTATTTGAAAAAGCATGCATAGATCGCCCGTGGAAGGGACTGATCATCAATCTAAATTGCTTGAAAATGGATATATAGATCGCCCGTGGAAGGGATTGACCTTCAATCCGAACTATTTGAAAAAGGATGTATAGATCACCCGTGGTAGGAACTGATCATCAATCCGAACTATTTGAAAATGGATGTATAGATCGCCCATGGAAGGGACTGATATCAATCCGAACTATTTGAAAATGGGTGTATAGATCACCCATGGAAGGGACTGATCATCAATCTGAACTATTTGAAAATGGATGTCTGATGTTGTCAGGAAATACTAGACTTTTTAATGTAGATGTCAGGTAGACTAGACTGAATGTGGGTTCCAGTTGGATTGGTCTTTGATGCAGGTGCGAGGCAGATATTGGGCCTAAATGTGGATGTTGATATGGGAGAGGAGGATGCGTGGATGCATGTATATGTGAAGCAAGTGGGGATGCATGAATGCATGTGCTGATTTGATTGTACGGATGCATGGAGGTGCCAATGCAAAATGTAAGAATGCGTGGATAAGATTTAATGTATGTATGAACGCATGAATGATGTAAAATCCAATGTAGATGTATGGATGCATGTTGTTGATGTAGATAAGGGTGCATGATGCAGGTGGTTGATGCCACTGTGACTGTATGGGTTGATGGATGCATGTTGCTGATAGGCAAGTTGTAACATTTTGTTTATTTGTCTTTTCTTTCTTTTCTTTTCTTTTTTTGAATTTTTTTACTTTTTATGAATGCAAGCATTGATTATTCCCTTTGTAATCATCAAATCCATGAAAAGTTGTCATTTTATTCACTTTAAAGAATGAAAGTGGGGGGGGGGGGGAGGCATTGCAAATACTGAAGCCCAATGCAATGACTGCAGTATGGCGAAATTGACATTTTCTTTTGAAATATTGAAGAATCAAATGTTTGCTTGACTGGTCATTTGAATATATGGCTTGTTTGGCAAAGTTAACAGGTTTGAGGGAATGGGAAATGATATCAAGCTTTATAGGAAGGTTCCCCTTTTGACATTCTTTAAACGGAAAAACTGCACAAGGGTCGAGTTACAGAAACAGGTAATGTTGCCCTAGTTTCGAGTTGCAGGGAGGCTGAATAACAAAAGGTTAGGGAAAAGTGTGGGTTGCCCCCCATTATAGCAGTAGTATGAAAGAGATGGACATGATTGCCCCTATTTTGATGGTTGAAGTGGCGAAAATAGGGCTAATTGGTCCCAAGATAATGGTAGGGTAGTAGAAGAATTGCCCCATTTGATGGTTGGATGATAAAAATGAAGAAGATTGCCCCAGAAGGTCAGTGCGATAAGTAGGATTGCCCCTCATTTTGGCGATGGCATGGCAAAAGCGACCAAATTGCCCCTTCACCTGGCTATAAGACAGCTCAAGAATTTTGCTCTTATTTTCTTTTTCTTTTTTGTTGTATGCCATGTTGTTAGTCAAGAAATCTTATCATAGGATCAAGCGTTGCAAAAACCAGACAACCAATCCTTAATCAGCGTGGACTTTACTTGGCTTGTAACATGGCTATGGGTTAATGGCTATGAAAGAAAAGGGTATTAAGGATCAGAACAATATTTGCAGGTTATTTGAAACAAGGATCGTCGACCCAAGTTATGCGACTTTTACAACCAAGGTTTGGTTTGTGCAGGATTTTTTCCTTTTTCTTTTCCAATTTTTCTTCAAGATGCTTCCTGCTTCTCAATTCATCTTATTTCTTGAATGATGATTTCCTTTTCCTTTATTTTGTGTTTATTGTTTAAGGGTAATTTAATAAAAAAATGTTGTTTGTTTCTTATTGCTCAACAGGGGTAGTAAATTATATTGTTTATATATTTTTTGAATAAAAAAACATGACCACACATCACTTTAGATCATGATTGTCTTATTTTTGCAAAGATTGATCTTACAAAAAAATTTGATGACTTTCGACATGAATTGCCTTTTTATTATTTGTTTTCCTTATTCTTTTGTCCTACCTTTTTCCTAGACCACCCTTGCCGATTTTCAATCTAGTGGACTTTTCTTTCTATTTTTTACACAGACAAGATAAACCTAGTGGTGCTGCTTCAGAGTGAGGTCACTTTACTTTGAGTGATGATGAATTTTATTGGAGCAAATCCGTTTATTTTACAGAGGGATGGATGGGCTGAAGGATTTCAAGCACCATGCTTCTAAGTACTTCAAAGGAAAATGTTGACTTGTCGTCTTTTATCAAGGCATTGGATCAAAGAAAGTGCATGTCATTCTACACTGTTATTCTTTTTTCATTTCTTTTTTGAACTTTTCATCATTTTATTTGAAAATTATTTTAGAACGTCATGAATTTGATGACTATTCAAAAGAAATAATTAACTCAACATGCAATTTTACTTTTTTGTCCGTTTGTCATGATTTAAAAAAAAAAATTTGCGACACCCCTTTAGGACTTGATTCGAGCTAAAACTAGTATCCTTCCATGCTCTATGAAGAAAGCCATTGCACTCATTGATAAATGTAGAATTCAAAACCCAATTTGATATAGAATAAACTTGTTAAACAAACCATTGTCATTCATATAAGGGTATAAAAGTTTGACACATAACATAAACAAACAAGTCAAGAGTCCTAGCAAAATCATGAAAGTGAACCAAAACTGACATCGATCAAATCAAAATGACCGCCAAGTTTTCCCCTAGCCCTCACTCTCCACAACATTTGCGGAAGTGTTGTCATGCTCTGGTGGAGGATTGTCGTCAACACATGGTTTTTCTTCCTTGAAGCTCAACCATCCAGAATCAATTAGAGTTTGCACTTTGTGCTTGAACCCGAAGCATTTCTTTGTAGAATGTCGAATAACCCCTCCATGATAATCACATATGGCATTCACGTCATAATTTCTTGGGTATGGTGGCTGCATAGGCTTCATGGGGCAAATAGCAACTAGCCTGCTGCTATGAAGGAGGTTCGATAGCAGCTCTGTATAAGTAATAGGAATGGGAGTAAATTGTGCTTGGGGGGAAGCTTGTTGCTAGGAATGATAGGTACGAGTTGCAGGTTGCAAGTAGTTCCGTCCATAATCTGGGGCTTGGTTCACCCAGGAGGGTGTGGAAGATATTGCAAGCACTTCCCCTTCTTTCCCCGATTTTGCTATATTTGAGGCCGCAGACATGCCAGGTGCGATTCTTCTAGTCTTCAGACCGGCCTCTACTCTTTCCCCAATTATGACGAGATCAGAAAAGTTTGAAGAGACATTGCCTATTGTCACAATTAGAATCACAACTAGACGAAAAAATTAAGTTTCTAAATGAAAGAAAAACAATGGAGTCGCCACAAATATTTATTTTAAGGAAAATATTGGAAAAACCTTTAAAAAGAAAAAAAAAGTGGTCTACGAAATAAAGATTGAGTTTGAGAGTCAATTATGTGTAAGGAAGGTATTAACACCTTACAACATCTGTTCTAAAAAAATGGTTACCTTTAATTAGACATAAAAAATTTAAATATCTTAAAATTATCTATTTTATCCCTCAAACTTATATATCGATTAAATGTTGTTACTAAAAATAAAAGATTATATACTTATTTTTTAGCTCGACAGAGATTATCTCTCTGCTCCTACGTATCCCCGGATGCAATGGAGAATCGAAGTAACGTAGTTTTGTTTTTTTACAAATATTTATGAATAATTTTTTTTTACTTATTATGTTAAGTTAAATATATGCTAAAAATTATGTAATAATCAAATTAGAAGTACATCTAAAGTGATTATCATTTTTATAATTTGAATAATAATTAAATCGGAAGTGCATCTAAAGTAATTTAAATGTTTAAATTATCGTACTTGTAATTAGATTTAAAATGTATATATTTTTTTAAAATATTTTATTATAATCAAGTCAAAAGTACATTTGAAATGATTATTAATATTTTATATCAACCAAATTAGATGTGCATCCAAAGTGGTTAAACTTTTATGATATATTTTCTTACTACTCTAATAACAATAATATTGCATGTTTAATAGTACTCGAGAAAAGAAAATGATAATTAAATTTAATTGTCAATATAATAATAATGCTTTACTAATTTAAATTATTTAAAAAAATTAAAATTATCTTTATTCAAATAAACTAATAATAATAATAATAATAATAGTAATAATAATAATAATAAACTTATTAGTATTTGTAACTTATTTTGTTATGTTTTTTAGTTTAAAATAGAACAAAAAAAATATTAGGCCCAATAACTCATAAGAATTTTTCAGATTCATCGTTTGAAACCTTTTATGTTATTTTCACCTCCTCAAATTTGGGCCACGCCTTCTTTGAGCCCAATTCGATCTCTTGACCCATTTTCCTGACCTAAATCTAATGGGAGCCACAGGAGGTGGGGCCTAAACCTAATGGGAACCGCAGGAGAAGGGAAGAATACATTGGTGGTGGTGCGGCGCGATGGTCTGTGATGGAGGAGTGGGGGTTAGGCGTGGTGAGTGACACAGTTAGAGAGGGAGGATGTGGTGGCTTCGGTGCGGCTCGTAGCGCGGTTAGGGTTTTCATGGTGAGGTGCGAGAGTGACGAATGAAGTGAAGGTAGTGCGAAGAAGCTGGTTTCAGTGGGGGGAAAGGTGAGAATATGATGGTGAGATGGGGGGAGAGAGTGAGGTGCGAGAGTGAACGAGGAGATGGGAATCGGGATCGTGTAAGTCTAGATTTGGGAATGGGTGAAGGAAAAGGGTTTTGCTGCCGAAAAAAAAGATGGATGAGGTGGTGAAGGCGGAGATTAAGGTCGTGGTTGGGTTACGGTAGTTGTTAGTGGTGTGGTGGTGGCCGTCGGTGGTATGGTAGGTTTACTATGATGGCCGCCGGTGAGGCGGTGGAACTCGCTGTGGTAGTCGTCGGTGGTAATGATAAATGAGTTTTTTTTTTCTTTTTTTTAATAATTTTTATATGTACAATATACTTAGGTATACAACAAATATTTCATGCTACAATTAGGAATTGGGATACAAATACTACAAATTGGGAACTTGTTAATTGTTGCCTCTGTTATTAATCATTGATTTCTTGTTGTTAATCATTGATTGCCTCTATTGTTAATCGTTGATTGACTCTATTAATTGTTGATTGTTGATTGCCTCTGTTGATTGTTGTCGCCGCCGTCCGTTCCGACGTCCAGGGACATCTCTAACGTTTAATGCGAGCAGTTGCGGAAAGATGGTTTAGACTCGCGTTTTTTGTTAAATAATGTTCATTGCTTCCGAGGTATTCAACAACTGAACTATCCTCTAATAAAAGCAAGGTTTTCGAAAAGGGGTTCTTTTGGAGTCGCCACCAATGTTTTGACCATAAACATTGGAAAAGGATAAAAGGCGTTGATTTTATTAAAAACCAAACTTGGCCATTATAACCAGAGTTAGGTAAGGGAGTTAGTTACGTGTGGGGAAGGTGTTAGCACCCCACAACGCCCCTTTCGGGTTCCCTATGACGGATTAATTCATTTAAGTAGAGATTACAAGAAATTACACTATTACCCTATTTTATTCGTACAATAAATATGGCTATCTACATGATTTTATTTATATTTCATAAAGCAATAAATAAAGCAGTAAAAGAGAAGAGATTTGAGAAGAACCTCTGTAGCAAGTTTTATATAGCAACTCTCTTACAATAAGGACGCGTTTCGGTAGTCCCTCGCTCTACAACGACTCTCCTCACGACAAAACTCGACTCAACTAAAATTTTCTAGAAGAATCGAATGCCGGAATATAATACCTTAACTGATTGTTACCTATATAAGGCAATTAGAAAGATCATTCGAAAGAGGGAGAGAAGTAGACAAGTGCTCTGAGTTGTCTGGGGTGTGGAAAATGAGCAAATGAGCCTCCTATTTATAGTTTTCGCTGCCTGGCACATCTGGGACGGCCGTCTGGGCCGGGACGGCCGTCTGGGTTGGGACGGCCGTCCCATTTGAATTTTTTACACAGAGCCAGCCCCCCTAGGACTTGGGACGGCCGTCCCAACTCTGGGACGGTGGTCTTGACCTGTTTTGTCCAGTTTTTGCATTCTGGGACCCCGGGAAGCTTTTTTCGGACATTGGTTGATGCCGATATGTGTCCGTTGAAGCTTTATCTTCATATAGGAAGTCTTCTTGGCCTTCATTAAGATGCGGGGTGAGTTTTATCTTCATGTAGGGAGTCTCCTTAGCTTTCGTCGGGTGACTGGGTGAACTCTATGTTGTTACGAGAGGTCTCCTTTTCTTTTATTAAGAAGCCGGGAAAAATTAGGGGTCTACAGCTGCCCCCCCTTCACCTGCCTAGCTAATTTGTTGGCTTGATATGCTGACAAAATTAATTGGTAGGGGAAGGAGTTAACCCTTTTGCCCGGTCATCCTTCGGATGCTGCTCCTTGCTGATCCTCCGGATGATAAATATTTTGATAGGTACCAACCCCTATCTGGTTTGAGCCTTCTTTTATAAGGCTCTGGTGAGTATTTACCCTCACCAGGTATAAGTCTATATTTTACTAGACTTTAGTGAGTATCTACCCCCACTAGGTATAAACCTTGTTCTGCAAGGTTTTGGTGAGTATTTACCCTCACCTGGTATGAGTTCGCATTTTGCTAAACTCTTGTGGGTACTTACTTCCGAGGTGCTCAACACTGAACTATCCTCTAATAGAAGCAAGGTTTTTGCACCCGTTTTTTGTAATGCTTCTGGTGAGTATTTTACTCTACCTGATGCATTTTGCTAAGTTTTCTGATGAGTACTGTCGCCGCCTCCCAAAAAATGAAGGGGCGGTCAGAGCGACGCGGTGGTTTTTCGACCCTCTTGCTTTCGCGTTTTTTATGGGTGGTTACAACGTCCTTAGGTTGTCTGATAACCGGGCTAACCTAGAGACGAGGTTTTCGAAAATTGTTCTTGTGTTGTCCGATAACCGGGCTAACCCAAGAACGGGTTTTGAAGGGTTCGTGGAGTCGCCACCGATGTTTTTACCGGAAACATCGGAAAAGGAGTTTAAAAAGGCGTTGGTTTTCAAAAACCAACTTTGGTCATTAGAACCAGAGTTGGGTAAGGGAGTTAGTTACGTGCAAAGGAAGTGTTAGTTCCTTTACGACGCCCCTTTCGGGTTCCCTATGATAGGCCGGCGACTTTGGATAAATAACTAAACTGGAAAATTACGCTTTTACCCTTTTATTATGCGGTATTTAAAGATTATGACTACATGGCCCTAGCGTCTATTGCATAATTTTAAATGAAAGCGGTAAAATTAGAAAGAGAGAGGGTGCACCTTCAAAGCAAGCTTTTTGTATTTCTCTTTAAAGAGTGGGTGCTTTTTGGCAACCCTTCACTCTACAACTCTCAGAAACTCCGGAAATGCCTCGGAGGGGTTCTAAAGAAGATTTAAGACGCTCAATTTATGCCTAGAGACACTCAGAAACTCCAGAAATGCTTCGGAGGGGTTCTAGAGAGAGAAAATCTAGAGAGAAGGAGGAGCTACTGTGTTTTTGTGTGTGGAAAAAGGGGGAATGGAGCCCCTATTTATAGTTTTTCGCGCCTGACAGGTCGAGACCGTCGTTTCATCTGACAGGGTCGAGACCGCCATCTGGACAATCTAGACCGCCGTCTCGACCATGGCAGGGGGTCGAGACCACCGTCTGGATAATCCAGACTGCCGTCTCGACTAGGCAGAAGTCAAGACCGCTGTCTGGATAATCCAGAACGCCGTCTCGGCCTTTTCAGGTGACGAGACCGCCGTCTGGACAAGCGAGACGGCGGTCTCGTCCCTGGCGTGAGGCGAGACGGCGGTTTGGTCCTTCCAGACGGCGGTCTCGTCCCTTCAGGGCGAGAAACTTTATTTTTCGGGCCAAAAAACCCTCCTATCTTAGTACGGGGGCCTAATAGTCTCTCCTAGTGGCTTGTTAGGCTTCGGCCGTCTTCAAATAGGGGGTCATCTGACTTTATTTTGAGGCCGGGCAAGATTTGGGGTCTACAGCTGCCCCCCCTTTACCTGACTAGTCGGCTATTGGCTTTGTTGTGCCAGCCAGGTAGACAAGAAGGTAAAGGAGTTGACCCTCTCGCTCGGCTACCCGTCGGACGTCCCGTCTTGTGACGGATGATCCTCTGGGGAGATGTTGTATTTATGCACCTCCGGGATACTACTCCTGACGTAGCCGATCCCTTTGGTTGACACGTGGTAGAACCTCCGGATACTACTCCTGACGTAGCCGATCCTTCGGTTGATGGGTATAAACCCCCATCAGGCTGGTAGTTACAGTCCGTTGTGTGGGACTGGATGGGTATGAACCCCCCATCAGGATGGTACGGTCCGTTGTGTGGGACCGGATGGGTATGAACCCCCCATCAGGCTGGTACGGTCCGTTGTGTGGGACCGAATGGGTATGAACCCCCCATCAGGGTGGTAGTGGCGACTTACTGTTCAGGTGGCCCATGCGCCATTTAGGCACTCCTTGTGTGCTGGTTGATAGGTATAAACCCCCTATCAGGCTGGTACAGTCCGTTGCGTAGGACTGGTGGTGGTGGCGGCTTACTGCTCAGGTAGCTCATACGCCATTTAGGCACTCCTTGTGTGCTGGTTGATAAGTATAAACCCCCTATCAGGCTGGTACAGTCTGTTGCGTAGGACTGGTGGTGGTGGCAGCTTACTGCTCGGGTAGCTCATGCGCCGTCTCCCTGAGGAGTGACTTCTGTGTTTGTTGGTAGATATGTTCATCCGGGTTGTGCCGGGGTTTTTTGTTGGTTGTCCATCCAACTTTGTTGGTTGCTGGGGATTCTTTGTTTCTGATTTTTTTGTGGTAGTCATCCGACTCTTGCTGGCTGGTCAGGTTCTTCTCTTCTTTTTGTGTTTGACTTTTGCTTGGTAGTCGGAGTTTTGTTGGTTAAAGTAGTTGTTTTGTTTTAATCCTGCCTTTTCTCGCGGTTTTATCTCTTTTTTCTCGCGATTTTGGATTTTGGCTTTTTTCTTGAGCGTATGCCTTTTCTCTTTTAAGCTTTTTTGTTACGCTGACTTTTGTAAAAGAAGGCAAAGAATGCATGGAATAAAATTTTATTCATGGGAAATTTTATTACAACAGCTTTTTGTTTAGGTAAGTGCGGTCCCTAGGGGCTATCATCAGGGGAATCGGGGTAAGGAAACTTTTTGTACACGTGATACCGGAAGTCTATTTGCTCTTGGACTTCGTCACGGTAGTCCTCTTGGAATGTCGTCCATTCCTGCCGCATCCTCTGCTGCTCCTGGTAGATCTCGTCCTGGCGAGCTTGAAAGGCCTGCTGGCGAGCATCCTGGGCCTGCTACCACTGGGTCTGCTTCTCTAGCCATACCGCCATTTGGGCGAACTGCTGGCTCAGATCATTCATGTGTTGGTGCATGCCAGCAAAGTCCTCCGTGTATGGTGGTGGTTGTTGCTGCTGTTGCTGGGAGCCGGGAGACGTGGGAATATCCTGCATCGCCACTAGCCCCTGGATGTCCAGCTTGAAGTCCAGGGAGGGATGCAGGGCGAACTGGTTTCCCCGACGTATCAACATCCCCATGCTGACCAGCATTGGCCCATTGATGGGCTCGGGTC